AAAAAGGTGAGGAGAACTGAAAAAAGAGTTGAAGGACGGAAGCGAGAAATAAGCTTAAGGAAGTAGGAGAAGCATGAGAAGGAAGGGGGGAAAGGAAGGAAGGAAGTATCGCTGGATGAGGAAGTAAAAGGAGTAAAATGGAAGAGGAAGTAGATGTGTGGAAAAATAATGTTAGTCGACGTTAAATTTGCATCTGAGGTTTTTATCTAGAATTTTTCCTTTGAGAAGAGCAAATAATTTCCATTTTTAAAATAAATGGTTACATATAAAGTTACGTATTAATATCCTGTTGCGTTGTGGATTTAATTTGCTCAGGCTGACGACTCACATTAGCTTTCATAGTTCTTCCAGGGGTGAATGTGCTGCAGTGCTCTGGCCTTTGTCATTGGCCTGTGAAACACCTGCCAGGTGACTCCTCACACCCGTTCAGTCAGCTGTTTGAGTCGCCCGCAACTTCCTCTGTCACCCTCCTCCGGTTTCTCTTTCTTTGTCTTTCTCTCTGGCTGCTGATGCGCTTCCTGCTTTGACTCATCATTCACGCCGTTTAAAAAAAACAGAAAACTCCTCCTTCATGCGGCGCTTTGCAAACTCTACTCAGTGTATCGACGAGCTGTCAGGGCTGTAGAGGACTGAGTCAGGGTTTACAAATGCTGACACAAGGTCACACCACACCTGAAAGGTAAAGGAGGAGGCACGCCCCACACCCTGTGCTTATGTATACTGTTGCATGCACAGAAAAGCCAACGCTTCCATGCTAACTCGAGCCTTTACTTGAGCTGGCACGGATACTTGCAGAGGAGAAACTGAGATCATGTGTTATTTAATGACGTCGTCATATAAGAGAGCAAAGCACCTCCTTACCTGGTACTCGCATGCATGTACCCACGCCTCGCTACCGAAATGTGGGAAAGAGATGTGGTTCTTCACATGAGCGAGCATCATTTCATATCCACAGTGTTACATTGTTAGGGATGTAAAAATGTGGCCGATAGCCAGCTGTTACAGCAGAGCTTGTACCTGGCGTTGCCGCACTCCTGAACAGTGCCACATGCCAAAAGTGACGCCACATCCGCCGTCACAAGCCACACTTTGGTCTCCTTTGAGCCACGCAGTCGTGCACCGCCTTGGTTTTGTAACCTCGAGCGGGTGCCGTGGATTGAAATGCAAAAGTATGATCATTCTGGTTTTCGATGATACATCGGCACAGAAGACTTTCTGGAAAAATCTTTGGAGAGAAAAACGATCTTTGTTCCCGGTTTTAACTTCTCCTCCACCTCCTTTCCCAGTGCTGATGGGGAGGTTTCGACTGTTGTCGTTTTGTCTTGTTTGGAGCGAAACTTCAAACATTCCTTTCTGCTCGTTCTCGGCCCCAAACACCCGTTTGCTCCAGTTCCCGTTCAAATTGTTTTTCGTGATCAGGAGTCTTTTTAAATGAGGACAGATTCAACATCGCCAACTCAAGGAACTGGATGCCAAAACCGATGGGAGACAACAGATCAACATCGACCGCTGCCACGGTGATGTCATCTTGTTTACTTATTTGTTGATGGCTGTAAACAAGACAAAAGCAGATACCAATGGTCAGCCAATAAACGGGCGCATCGCTACAAATGGTGTTTAAAGTCTACTGATTTACATTTTGGTGGTTTTGAATGGAAATCTGTCCATAATCCTGCCAGTGATGGAGAGGTGATCAGCACAGATGAGCTGAACGTTTTACTGTAAAATATAGTTCATGCGTCACGGTCTCTTTCTTTGTGTCTTATTTCCTCCGTTCTCCTTCCATCACTGCTCGCTGTCTGCTTCTCCCTGGAAACAAAAAAACATAACATACATCTCCATCCTCTTGTTTCTATAGCAACGCAGCAGAGCGGCGAGGAGATGAGGAGCCGTAGCCTCCTCCAGCCCTTCTCCGTGATGAGAAGCACAACAGAAAGAGACAGAATAAGCCAAAAAAAAGAAAAGGAGAGGTTTGGGAATAAGATGTAAAAAAGAAAGAGGAGGACTGAAAGAGGAGGAGAGGGAGAGGAAAGGGTAGAGAGAGGCAATCAGTGCTCGCTCTTGTGCAGGAAGGAGTATCTATGGTAACCTCGGCCGGTTATCAGAAAATTGAAGTCTCCTCTGTTTGTCTCCGTTCTGCTCTCCCTCTGCCTATTCAGAAATGCATTTATCGTCTCCTTTAGCTCCCGGCTTCATATTCTCCTCTTAATGTTGCAGTTCATCTTGTTAGTGTGTCATGTGCGTGCAAAAAACCACCGCAAACACTATTTGGCAGCTTTGAGACATGCAGACGGAGAGGCGGAGGGATGGACAGAGGCAGGGGCTGAGGTTTACTCTTCCGAGGAAATGAGACATCTTGCCCAGAACCAATATTTGCCGTGGACGTCGTCTGTAATGAAAATCCCGCACGGGTGCAGGCGCACAACAGGTATCCTGTCTGCGGGGAGGCGGGGTTACACCGAGAAGCCAGCTCACCCATCGGTCGTGGAGGGAGGTGTAAATAAAGAAATAGCATGTACGTTCTTCACCGAGGGTGGGGTTGGCGGAGCTGTTTGTTTGCTCTATAGAGAGAGATGGACGCAATTAAGGACGAGAACCACCTGTCTGCCCGAGCGGGCTGCAGAGGGACGCCAGGCGTCTGCTGCTGCTGCTCTCGTGTAGCTGCTCAGATGTGTTTGTGTTTACTGGAGCTGCAGACGTGCTGTTTATCTGTGTGGAAGCACACGCAGGGAAGAAGATGCAGTGGAGTCATGGAAGGACGGGCCTTGTATACTTTTAAAGTCACTGTTAACAAATGTCTCTGGAACACTAAAAAAAGAGAGCGAGAGGCCCCACGTACAGAAAGAGTGAAAACACAGCTGCAAAGGCAAACGCCACAAAGCTACACATGTTCAGCTCATTCAGTCCGTTTTATTTAGACTGTGCCTGTTCACTGCAGCGCTCGTCCTTAGGTGCTTTAAAGACTTCAACTGGAGACAGACCCAAATGAACAGGCGGGAAGATCCTGTACTGGAACCAAAGCAGGAAAGAGAACAGAGGAGCCAGACGACGGCACGCAGTAGTGCTTTGTAAAAGAACCAGGGGCGGATTGAAAGCGCTCAGAGCATCATGGGAGGTCTCACAGTGGCCTGGGCGTATGGTTCAAATTCACCTGAAAATCAAAGGATGACAAAAAAGGCCTAAAGATGACTACAGGGAGGTTGATGACATCCGGAAAAGGCTTCTTTGTCACAAGTTGTTACGAGCACACTGATACCAAAACATGTGTTATTGTAATCAGATAAGAGCAGATTTTCCTGGGATTTCATCAGAAACATTATCTGAGGGGCAGATGTGGCGCTCGCAGAGGCCTGAGCTGAAACGTGTAGATTTACTCTTCCAGTCAGCGCTGAAATGAAATGAATATAAATAATGCTTCTGCTGCCCACCAACGATGTCTGTTTATGTGGCGTTTCTCAGTTATGGTTGAATAGTTTAACTGCTGCATTATTTGTGCTTTAAAAGAAGAAAAGGTGGCTCGAGTTAAGCTTCCTGTATCTGCCCGCCTGCACTTTTATGTTATTAATACAATAAACAGGAAAAAAAGGAGGGGGTGTCCTTAACTTTAGCCCATCTCAGTCAGGTGGGCAGCTACATGTGTGCTACTATATTTACATTGTTACTACTGATACATAGACCTGGTTACTGCATTATTAAACCTACGTCTGACGGAGCAGATCAGCTGTGGTTCTCTCCCAGTTTCATTCTCAGTCAGCAACACGCCAAATAAAGCAGGTCAGCTACGACACTTTAGTCACTTCTCTCTTTAGATACCAAACTTCATGACGTTTTTGCAAACCCGGTGTTTTGCAATCAAGTCACCGCGAGGAAGCCAAAATGGAAGTTGTAATGTGTTATCTGTGTTTAACCACTGGCATAAAAACTCAATCTGTACAGTTTCACAGATTACAGAAATGGCTTTCAGAGCGGGACGTCCTGCACGTGTGACGAAGTTGCTCCCAGTGAAACTTTTCACACTCGCTCTGCCGCCCTGAGAGAAAATGTTGCCTCTCCACTCTGTGTTTTCCAAAGTTTCTGAAGGGAAACGGCCTCAGAAAAATGAAAAGCAAAATAAGGACGATAATTCCAGCAGAGCTATGCAGAGAAAGCCACTACAGATGACGTCCACTCGGGCCATTTGTGTGGATATACAGTTAATCTTGCCATCGACAATAATTGGTCGAAAATCACGCAGTGACGCGGCGTCTGGGAAATCAGCTGATGATTCATTTGCTGCTGTTTCTGCAGTGCTGGCCGACACTCGTCTTATTTTAGAGTGGCATTAAACATTTCTCTTCAAGCTCCTCCTGCGGGTTAGAAGATATACAGGCTCGGTTTCCTTGTGGCTTTCTCTCAGCCTCGTTATTTTTATCTGCTTGGCTCCCCCCGCCTCCCTTTCTCTGAAGACTCTTCTGTTCCTGAGTCCGGAAACTTGTGGTCATTTGTCAGCGTTTCTGTAATCATTTTGAGACTAGCAAACGGGTTGTGGCGTGTTACTCGTGTGCACTGCGATGAGACTGCGATCAGAGCTCTGCCATCGCACCAAAGGGCCTTTTCCTGCATGCGCGTTGAGTTAAAGCGCCGCCGTCGTGTCTTTCTGGCTGATGTTTGTGTATTTGCGTGATTAATGGCTTTTGCTAAATTGATTTTCCACTTTGCTCTTGCATTCGGTGAATGTTTACTTGGAACTAAATCAAATGTCACCACAGCTGATAAAGATTACTCTGTGTACTGTTTTCACAGCATTTACCACTCGGCTGTATTTGGAGGTTTTGTTTGGCCTCGTGTTTACCCAGGGCAGGTTAGCCTGGGATATGTTTCTTTTTGTCTTTCCAGCTGACTGCCAGTAAAAAATAAATGCCTTTTTCTCCTCCTGCTTTGTTTAAATATACAATATGTACTGTAAATGTTAGACAGTGGCAGACTAATATCCTCTTGCTCTTTCCCTCTCTCCTCCCCAGCCCACCGGTTACATGGAGACATCATTGCCCTACAGCTCCATAGAGGACCTGCAGCTCCTCTCTTGGGACAATGCCCCAAAGTACTGCGTGCAGCTCAGCTTCCCTGGTGGCACCGTCCTGCTGCAGGTAATTCATTATCATTATTACGACTATTTTCGCCTCCACCAGGGAGGTTATGTTTTTGGTAGCACGTGCGAGCTGTGAGCAGGGTCGTGTTAATGATCCGTCACACCGAGGGCTTCGAGGTCGGCCGAACGATTTGTTGGTCAAAAAGTGAGAAAAAGACTTAACATTTGGAAACAAGGTTGACGTTGTCAGCATGTAGATATACACTTCATATTTCTAACTAAACATTTAACCAGACTTAACAACAAGTTACCGACCTGCCGTGTCTTACAAACGTACAGAGTGTATATTTAAATAGGTTTCAAACAGCAAAAGCGCTGCAAACTTTATAAATACTTTAAAAACAAAGACAACAGAATGAAAACGTTAATGCTGTCCAGAGAGGTTAGTGGATGTTTTCAGTGTTGCACTGATTGTTGCTCTAATAATTTTAACCTCTTGTGTTCAGCACAATTAGTAAATTACTAAGAGCAAAGTCCTCCGTGCAGCTGAAGTCTCCTTTGTCTCCTTCGGAGCATATCTGTAACTAGGCAGTTTCTGAAACTAGATCAAAACATTGTGGCTTGATTTGCACATTCCAGGAACTCACGGTCAAAACACACTTTCCACATCTGGTTGCGTCAGCTTGTCAAATCTGATCTGCCCTATCTTACTACAGATTCTTATTTAAAGGTTAAGTTTAAACTTGATCACAGTTGTACATCAATACAACGCTTACTTCACTAAATGACTACAAAGCGACACCGGTGACTCCAGACCAGCTACAGTGGAACGAACCTGGGAGCCGACACCTCTGTGGGCAGCAGCCACATTTAGAGGTGGCTTATGTGGCGTCCAGTGGATAATTGGATCAAGACTCTCTGCTCTGTGCTCTGGTCACTGTTGTTGTTACACAACAGAACGGTAAAAATTATCATCAGGTCATTGATCCTTCTTCTTATTAGGCAGCCATGTTTAAAGCTGGAATAGCATCACTCTGTTTGCGCCCGTCACATTGATTTTCATTTATTTAGTTTCATTATTAGCAAGTATTTCTATGAACAGCTGGAATGTGACAAAAGGTTAAATAATTGCAGATAATTGTGTAAATGCTGTTTTGTTTGTAGCATTGTTAAATGAGTATTTTTACGGTTTTACGCAGTCTGAATTTACCTCGATCTTTAACTTATTAAAGCTTGTCTGTCTGCTTTGGCTTGGGACAACACAAGGTCCTGTCTTTGGCCTGTTGCTCCATGTACCTGCTGAACTCTGAGAAAATTTCATTTCAGCATTAACCAGAGCCGCTCAGGGGGCACATTTAGTACCGTTACCCATTAGCCCAATTACCTTGGATACACAGCTCGGCCTATGATTGGTGCTGGGGGTCAACAGTGAATGTCAGCCTCTTCAGCTGTGTTTGCTTGTGCCTGCTGGCCTTCTTTGGACCACCGCCCGATGCTCCCACTTTGAAGCTTTGCTGGTCGTGGAACGCTGACAAACCTGGAATAAATCTTCAGCTATGTAAAGAACACTGACGTGCATTTAGTGTTTAGTGGATGGATGGTAGATTTGAAGGTCAAGTTGATGACTAGAAACCCCAACCTGACGCTATATTGTAGGTTAAGCTGAAGCAGGCAGGTACTCATGAGCACCAAAGGCTGTAATTGTACTGTACTTTACTATATTTAAGTACTCTAGTACTTGACTTGCCCCAACATCTGCTTTTAATACAAAATCAACAAACTGAAAGCCTAGCTGTTTCACTGCACAGAAACTGTTCCTTTAACTGTTGTTTAGCATCTCTTTGTGGTCATGTTGCGCTGCATGCAGTGTTTCTGTGCGTGATCTTTTTGATTTCTGGTTGTGTGTGCGGAACCGCACACACGGTTGTATGTGGTTGTGGTTGTTCCTGGTACGTACTGTACCAGGAACAACCACAAAGGCAGTTTGTGCAGCACACCGCATGATAGCGCTGCGCAAATTAACAAAGTAGTTTGAAGTAATAATGTCGTAACAGTCGCTCATGGGTTGGCTCGGCACATTGTGTAAGTCGAATACCTAAAAAAGGTTTGAACGTAGAGATGAATCCAACGCCGGAGCTCATCCGCGTTCACGTTAAGCTGCTGCAAGCACGGCGGCGTTTCAACGTTTCGTGATATCCTGAGTATTTATCACCTTTTTTTCTTTGACTTTTTTGTCAATATCTATTTTATCCAATAAGATAAAGTTATCTGACTGCAGTTATGTATTTCCTGTTAAATGAGATTGTCAGGCTGTCAACACTGTTGCTAAAACCTGCCATAAGTGTTGCCATAAGACAGAGTCAATATATCAATCTGTGATATCAGACTGCGATGGAATGGGGTTGGAAATAACATGCAATCAGTTTCTGATAATACAGCAATTAATGTCGACATATCTGTTCTTGTCACCATAGACAGAAATTCATGATAACAGACATTCAGAGACATTTCTGTCGCTGCGGGTCAACGGCGGCGCTGTTAGTGAGTAAAAGCAGCCGGCAGCTGGTTCAGAAGAGTCCCTTTGAGTTGTGCTCAGACTCATTCAGACTGGTAACAACAAATAATTAATAAAGTAGGCGACGATTCTTTGTGTCGTATTTGTTGGAGGTTTGTCAGTTGAGCTGGTTTAATGTGAGTTTGTGCGATGTGTCACGATGGGGGTGCAGGAGATGAGAGTATTTTAATTGATTTAATAAAACATCCATATTTGGTGTCCTTCCACTGAGACGATATCACCAAGCAAAATATTTGCGATTTGAAGCCACCGCTCTGTTTCTAAAGACACGAGTGGAACGGTCTCACTGTGGACGCCATCAACTTTATCAGGAAGTCCGACACGTCCAGTTATTGCATTTTTATTCTAGTTAAAAGACTTTAAATTAGACTAGATTACTAAGATTACAATTACTTTGATTACTTAGAGATTTCTTGGCAGATGCACAGAGTGGTTGTTATTATTAACTGTGCATCTGACAGTTGCAGCACTGCAAGTTTTTGATATTGTTTTAGCAGCTCTCTGACCGTCAGGTTTGCTTTCATGGGTGCATTAAATCTGTTTCTCTTCTTCACAGCTCAGGAGTCTTTAATAAAACTGTAGATCTGGTCATTTAATGCTGGCTAAAAGGTGAACTTGTGACTTTTTGCACAGCAGCAAAAGTTTGTCTCAGGATATACTCGAAATCATTTGACATTTTGCGTGTGTGTGTGTGCGTGTGTGTGTGTGTGTGTGTGCGTGTGTGTGTGTGTTGCTGCAGGCTGCAAACAGCTACTTGAGGGACCAGTGGTTTCACTCCCTGCAGTGGAAGGTAAGGTCACTGTTTTTTCTTTCTTTAACTATGAATTCAATCATCTCTTCAGCCTCATTAAAGCTGCAGCCTTCGCCCTGTCCTCCACTTTGTAAAGATTACCACACACGATGACATTTACTGCAGAATTATCATCTCAAAACATCAGAAATGGATGTTTATTATTGCACACCTTTCCCCAACCCCACACAGCATTTTATAGCACTTCACAGACCTTTATGAGGACCAGACCTCTAAACCTGTCAGGTCTGAATCCATGCTGTGCTCACAGAGCTAAATAAAGCTGTACAAGGAAGTATGCCTTAGTACTTGCAATGACTTCTGCACTGTACAAATGTTTCAGGTTAGTGTGTGACACACACGTTTCCTGGGACACCTTTAAAATAAAAGTCCAACACAAACACGGAGGAAACTGTGACAAAGGAGGACAAAAACCACTTTTATATGATTTCCTAATGATTTGTGTCTGCTTTGCTTATCATTGTCATACGTTTATTTGGCTTTTTTTTTAGGTGTTTTGTACATTTTTTCCTTTTTTTCTTGGCTCCATCCAACTATGAGGAACTTTTTGTCTCTTTGTAGCTGTTCTGTCTCTCTTTGCGGTCTGTGTCTTTCCACAGTTGTTTTCTTTCTGTGTATTTTTTGTGTGTGGGCTTAGTTTTTTTCTTTCTTTGCATATCTTTGCGGTTCCTTTTGTCTAAAGGTGGATTTACGGTCTTGGATTTGTATCCATTTGCATAAGTATTTGCCTGCGGACAGCCTCGCGCACCTTCGCCAACATGTAGTAGCTGTTTGTTGTCACCAACAGTGGCACAAACAACCATCTGTGGGTTGGTGTCGCTTGTGCTTTAGTGGGTCAATAAGTTGCAGAAGAGCGAAGTTCAAATGTAGAAAAAGCTGAAGTTAAACTGAACATTAAAAACGATAAAAAGCATTCGCTGCTCTGTCTGTGCTTCTCATGCTGCAGTGTAGTAAACTCAGCTGTCACTCAGCTACATCATCGAGCTATGTGGCTGTTTTTTCTTTGTTGGAGCATTGTACACAAGCAGTTTTCCTGGGCCCTCCAAAGGCAAATACCTGTGCAAACAGACACAAACGCAGCACCCTGATGTGTCATGTGCAGTCCTGCGGCCTTTGGGCCGGTGCTCAGCTGTTCATCGCATCGTTTCTCCTGCAGAAAAAGATCTACAAGTATCGCAAGGTCCTAAACAACCCGAGTCGCTGGGACGTGGCGCTAAAGGAGATCAGAGCGCTGGTGGACATGGCTCTGACCTCACCGCTGCAGGATGAATCCATCCACCAAGCTCCACTGCACATCATCTCCACCCTGCTGGCTGAGGTAGCACACTCACTCGTGTTGCGTGACATTGCTGTGATGATGTCGTTTCCTTTAAGGTGGAGAGCTTCCATCGTTAGACGTACTCATAATTAGTTCTTCCTTATTTTTGATTTTTTCCTTTGCAGAACTCAAACCTCAGTCCTCAGGATCATGAAAACATCATCGTGGTAAGTTTGCTGTCACTGTGCACTAAACTGATATTTAACAAGTTTATTAATCGTTAACAAGCTTCAGTTGCTTTGCTCGTTAGACTGAAGAATATAGATTGTCCCCGTGTCTCTCTTTATGCTACATTTTTTTTATTCGTGTGTTTTCGACCGTGGCGGTCGATACCCACGCGGTGGTAACTGGGCAGAGCAGGGGGAGCTTGATGCTTAGGGAAATTGCAATGTTTGTGTAGCTCACCTGCGGCCTGTTTTCACACAGCTCCTTCACCTGACAGCATGCTGGCTCTGGGCCTGTGTAAATAAGAGATATGATATGGAAATAGTCACCTGTATGTGTGCGTTTGTGTGTGTACATGTGTGTTTGTGCAGGCCATCGCTCCTCTTCTGGAAAACAACCACCCTCCACCTGATCTGTGCGAGTTCTTCTGTAAGGTGAGCTCTTGTGCATCGGATGCTGAACACGTTTCTTCTGTCGTAAATATTGCAAATAATTAAAAGCGCTTCCTTGTTGACGCCCGTCGATCTCGTGTGTTGCAGCACTGTCGGGAGCGACCGCGGTCGAGCGTTGTGATCGAAGTGTTCACTCCTGTGGTTCAGAGAATCCTCAAACACAACATGGTGAGATCGGCTGAGTCCGGTACCGCTTTTCTGCACAGCGCCGTTTTTATCTTCTTCTTATTTTAGAATTCTTAAAGTAATTTTTTAGGAAGCAGAAGATTTTGCAAGACCAGTGATTCCCAGCAACGATAGAGCTGCTGTAAAAATCTTTACTGGTTCCACGTAGCCCACCTCTCCTTTTGATGACTGTTTATTGCAGGCACTTTTGTGTTTTTGGCTGCAAATGCCACATTCCTGTGGCGTCTTAACCCTGGGAGCTTTCTGTTAGCTGTTTGGTGCTGTGTTGTAATTTAACGTCGTATCACCCACCAGATCATCTGTGACCCATCTAAGGTTAGGGTTGGACTGTGTTTTGACGTCATGCTAAATTGGTAAATATTGAGAAATCCCTCAGAGACCGTTAGCTTTCAAATTAAGGGTTTCTGCAGAAGCATTTCCATGCAGGCAGAAATATATTTCAGACTTTGTAAATGCTAAAAGGTTAAAGTACTTTGTTCTCTGTGGTTTTCTCTGCTTCCACTGGAAAAATCTGATCTCAGTGGATGACGACGCACATTTTGCTCAATGAGAGAGTTTAAATCCGTCTGCTGTCTTCAGTTCTGTGAGAATTTAAAAAGCATGAATGAATGAATTGCCATGTAAAGTTCCCACAAGTGTCCATAAAGTCCTGTACAAGCCCTTGGTTCATGAGCAGCAACTTAATAGATAGAAATGGTGATTAAGTAGAAAGAGCACGAGAGATGTAATCAGTGTGAGTCTCATCTGTCAGTGGCTCTCATAGAGAAACCTAAATTCTAGTTGTCTTTAATAAACGTGTATGCAGTAGCTAATGAGAATAAGAAAAGTTTTTATTTCTGCATATCCTTTATTCATCATTCAATTTCGTATTTTGGATGATATATTCCTAACTCTGCTTTTGGCTGTTGCTGACAGGATTTCGGGAAGTGCCCTCGTCTGCGTCTCTTCACTCAGGAGTACATCCTGGCTCTTAATGAGCTCAACGGTGGAATGGAGGTGGTCAAGAAGTTTATTCACAGGTGAGCATGTGCTGCTATAAATCTGTAATCCGTGACTCAATAACTTCAGACTACAGCCTCTATTTAAAGATGCAGTGAGGTGGGATTTAATTGCTCTGGAGGCCACAGCTGTAGCTCGCGGTCAGGATGGCAGGATGTTTAAAAAGGGGGAAAAACGTTTTTGGGGCATTGCCTTCAATACTGGGTAAACATGCTGCGCAGACCAAAGCCAGACCAGTCTACTGGAAACCAGAAATAAGGCTACGGCGAGCCTGAGAGAGGCCGTGTGTTCAGCTGAGCTTTATTGAGATGAAAGTTTTAAGAAAAAGAGAAAAATGTTGCCAAACCATCAGATTGTAATTTGCCTGAACACTTGGACAGTTATTTATTTATTATTATTTATTTTATCAATAACATAACATCGAGTTTGATGACACTGAGTGTGTGTGAGGTGTGTGTTTCTTGTCCACTTGTCCTCGTGGTAGGAACTGGGCACCAACTCTACAAGCTCTTTGAAATCTCATAATAGACAATATAATAACACATAAGTAGCACATTAGTTTTTTATTTGAATGATTCACAATCCAAGAGGAAGTGAATATAATTTGAAGCCAAAGGCTGTTGGATAAAATGCAGCACACTGCAGATATTTCCCGTACGCAAGGAGGAACTGAATCTGTGTGAAAACCAAAGAGCGGTAGGCCAGCAGTTCAAAGTAACAGGCCAGCATGACCTTTCTCCTCACTGCGTGAGACAAGCCACTCACTTTTACCAACCTCTACACTTCCTGGAACTGCCGACTAGTATTTTGAGCCAAATCGGTAGCATTCAGTTTGCTGGATGGCAGGCTTTTGAGTGTCCTTGCAAAGAAAGGTGGCTATATTGGTCGCTGATTTATTTTGTTTTGTTTTTGAATGTCAGAAATGTATATTTGTGAATGAGGAGATGTTATATTGGTGTCACTGGTAAAAATAAATAATTGAAATGGGTATATATTTGTTTTTTGTTAAGTTGCCTAATAATTCTGCACAGTAATAGTCACCTGCACACACAGATATCCCCCTAAAACAGCTCAAACTAAAAACAAACTAAAAACTACTTCCAAAAACATTCAGCTTTGATATTAATGAGTTTTTTGGGTTCATTGAGAACATGGTTGTTGTTCAATAATAACATTATTCCTCAAAAATACAACTTGCCTAATAATTCTGCACTCCCTGTATTCCTCTAGCATCAGCTTAGAGGACGAGTATCGTTAGACTCACACTGGATTTAGATAAGTTGCAAGTCGTCCTCTGACCTGCACGTTTGCTTTGCAGCATGCACGGGCCCACAGGCCAGTGCCCTCACCCACGTGTCCTGCCAAACCTGGTGGCAGTGTGTCTGGCTGCCATTTATTCCTGTTATGAGGAGTTCATCAACAGGTCAGTCACGCCCATATCCACACGCAAACAGTATCTGCTTCTTCTTCTGCTTCTTGTCTTTTCCCTGAACTCATTTAACAAACGCTTACTGGTCTTACCACCTTCACATTCGTCCTTCTCTTCTTTCCAACTCTCACTCAGCCTGTACACTTGTTGTTGCATCATCTCAGACTTTTCATTTTGCACTTTTTATACTAGAGAAAGCTCACTGCACAGCATTCATCGAGAGTATTTCCACCATTGCTTCTAAGGCTCCTTTTTGCTGCTGTTCCGGCAGAAGGGTTATTCTGTTGTTTGCCTTCACGTTGTCATTGATTAGACAAACACATGACTGGTAATTTCCCACATCTTGTAGGACTAATATGAAGGAAACGATACAAACACCAATTTGCAGATGTTACCAGGAAAGCAGACGGTAACTGTTTCGATCATCAGACCACATTATGCCATTTATAGCCCTAAACTAATCTGCAATGTTCCAGAGTGCCACAGAAATACATGAGCAATTATATACAAAAGAATAAATGGAAAGTAATTAAATACATAAGCTGATTATGTTTATTAAGAAGAATAACCTGAGGTTTGTTGGGTTCTTGCAGGACTATTCACAGTTTCCAGTTTTGCTTCTTATTAAATGCAGCTCATTGCTTGTGGATGCTGTGGCATCAGCCATTGGTGTGTGGATGTAACATTCAACATCAGCATTTTGGACTTGGTTTTTATTTATTTTAGAACAATTTTTTTGAAATGTGTCTTTCTGGTGTTTCCCATCTGGACTCTTTGGTGGTTTGACGGGCCCTCTCAGCTCATTATCACCATCCCTTTAGCGCTGTTCACCCCAGAGAGGAGCCACTTTTTCCAAAGCACTAACCCACGAAGGAGCTGTCACTCCAGGAAACATCGCTTCTGCCTCCAGCTGCACCTCACCTGCGTCTCTCATCTGCGCTTACGCTTTTTCATGCACGCTCTCCAGCATGACCGATGTTTTCCTCTCTTGCTCGTTGCAGTCGGGACAACTCCCCCAGCCTGAAGGAAATCCGAAACGGCTGTCAACAGCAGAACGACCGCAAACCCCCGATGCCGCTACGCCTGCTGCGGCCCGAACCCCCAACGCCACCTCCTGCCACCATCCTACCGCTCTCTACCACCCCCAGTCCTCCTCAGCCACCTCCCCCAGCCCCCACTAACCCCGTGGCTCCAACCATCCCCATCTCCTCTCCGACGTCCTCCCTGCCGCTCTCTCCTCCTCCCTCCGTCGTCAACTCCAGCGAGATCCTGGTGGAGCTAGAGCGGAACAACAATTCGGCAAACACCAAGCGGAAGGGCGGACCGACGAGGGGCGACAGCGAACCCAACCTTATCGACTGTCTGCTGGTCAGCCCGGCCGTCAACACGCTCTCCATCCAGCTGCCGGCGCAGGCTGACCGAGTGCTGGGCTGCTTCGCTCTCATCCTCAAGATGCTGTGAGTTAATGCGTCAGTGCTGTAGCACGCCAAAACCATTTTTCTCCGGGTTGACAGGGTGACACTGACTCTGTGTTCTTGCTTTGTGACTGTAGGTCAGACTATGACGACTGGAGACCTGCTCTGGCCAGCCTGCTGCAGCCCATCCCCTTCCCTAAAGAGTGAGTGTTCATCATAGATAATGTAGCATATGTTGCACGCTGCAAATATAATAGGATATGCAAATTTAAAAAAACCAGATAAATCCGCCATGATGTCACCCAATGGCTTGAGCAGGCTCCATTCATAAACACACAGACACATATTAGCTGAGTGGGGCTAAATGACAGACTAATAAAAAGGAATCTAACTTCTTTTATGTGTGGAATTAGCGATGGTAAGACAGCGTAGACAGTGAAGACTACACTTCCACATTTCAGCAGATTAAAGCAACTTTAGTATCCAGTTTGATGAAAACACCCACCATCACTTTGCCTTCAGACACCAAACCTTTTCGTACCAGAGCATTCATTTTTCCTCTGTTTTCACATATTCACATTCACTCACTCATCCAGTCATTCATCTTAATCTGAATGACCAAGAAAAAAAGGACAGAACTCGGATTTGGAGAAAAATCTGACCAAAAAGACCAAAAAGCACCTTGTGTTCATTGAGGCCACTGAACCTGCGGTCCCCAACCTTATTTGTGCCACAGATAAATACAACACAATAAAACGATACGACCGAGACAAAAACTGTGGGATTTTGTAAATATAATAATAAAAGTGAATTCACTGTGTAATTGTGTAACTTTATTAGCAGCGTCCTCCTGAAAATGCGCCAACGACATTCAGAGTAACATCCTCCTCTCTGGTCGCTATGGTAACGCGTAAATATGTCTTTCAAAATAAGACGCGCAGCTACAACAGGGGAAAGACCCAGGCAAAGCGAGTTAACGATAAAAACGCTGAAAACCACAAATTTCACACCGGAGCCTCAACTCTCGCGGCCCGGTACCAAACGACTCATAGACCGGCCCGGGCAGTGGCCCGGGGGTTGCACTGGGGACTGCTCCAAACAGCAGAGAATTTGGGGTTCCTGCTGTGGGAACGTCAATTAAAACCAAACGTGTGCCTCTGGGGCTGAACAGTGAAGCTGTGCGGAAGCCCAACAAAAACTGCAGTTCCTGTTGTGGCCACTTGAGCCTGGTTCCAAAAACAAGCCAGTCCCCACAGACGGGCTGTCGCTGTCTCTCAGGGTGTGCACATATTTCTGATGAGGACCCGTGGGGGTGTCACTGCTGACGTGGTGAGGTACATTACCGTGCTTCCCAAAGGATCGCAGACTAGGGTGGGGGGCGGATTCCTACCCCCAGCGAGCCCGCTGTTGTTAGGCATAAGTAGCCCAGAGCTGTCTTTGTAATTGGCTGCCTGATCCCGAGCTTCATTAATGGCAACTAGACAACAACTTGTTGTTTCGTTAACTGGGGAACCCACCTGCGCCACTGTTACCTGGCTGATGTCTTCAGGCGTCATTAGGAAAAGCAACAATATTCCCCAGAACCCTTTAGCTTTGGACAGAGTGAGTCATCTCGTACAAAGTGAGAAGCATATGCATGCAGAGGACTAATTAACACATGACAAGTTGTTATTCACACGTTAATGATTCCATAATTATCATCCCATACTACATGAATAATGCCACGAACAAAGAGGGGTTTTTAATAGCTATATGAAGTATTTTTAAATAATACTTTTAAATGATATTTGAACTGCTTCACTGTGGGATCTTCTTGCTGTGTTTTCAGTCGTGCTCCCACCGTTTCAAAACGTCTGGAAACACCGCGGTCTGCCAGCCAAAGCTTCTGTGATAGGCAAACGAAGCAACGGAAGCTGTTTGGTTAACCGGTGACGCTTCTTTCCACTCGACACTTTTCAGTGACCAGCATCGAAATTCTTTACTGCTAGCCAAAACATGTTTTGTGAGGTCACAGCGACCTTTATCTTTGACCGCCAAGATCTAATCATTCATCCTTGAGCCAAGTGAATGTTTGTGGCAGTCTGGCAGTCACAGACATGACTTAGATGAGAACGAAACATTCTCTGTGAAATCTGTTGAATAAGGTGGAAACGGGATGTTTTATGCTGTAAAAACTAACAAATATGTAAACACGAGCTTTCGGTGCATTCCATGTTATTGTGCACCAGCTAATTATAGTCATGGCTACAAGAAAAGACTGTCAGTTGTAAGGATTTATGTATCAGGACATCAGATGCACTTGATTAAGGCTCCATTAAAGCAGAGGCATCGGCAGTTTGCAGTTCTGGAGCAGTCAGGTGTGTGTTAACGTAACGCCAAGGAGGAAAGGCATCATCTTAGAGGAGCAACAGCTGCTGTGCATCAATCTCAGAAAGGTTATAAGGCCGTTTCCAAACAATCTGTAATCCGTTGTTGTACAGTGAGAAAGATTCATGACAAAAAATCCAAGGCAATCTTCAAAGGCTTAGATAAAAGGTTAAAATACAGTTAATTGAATAAGTAGGGCTTCTTTGGAAGGCCTGCAGGAGAACGCCTCTTCTCTCTGAAGAACATGGCAGCATAGCTCAGGCTTGCAAAGCTCCATTGCAGAAAATGATTACATTACTACATTACTAAAGCGTTTGAATTAGATTTTGTTTAATACATGCTGGCACAGTGTAAACATGTCAGGTTTTCTTGGATGTACTTTCCTAATTTTAAGACCCGTTAAGGATTAGATCATTTATTAAGTGTCGATATGTAAAAATCTTCCAATAGAAAGTTTGTGCTTTCTTTTTACTGTGCTTGTATATTTACAGTGACGCACTGATGAGCACCAACATGGTTTTTCCTAGAAAAATGGCCCTCCGTGTCTTCCCTGTACTTTCCACCCATGGTTGCATTGTTATGACAACAGTGGGGGGGACGTTCAGTAGCATTGCTCCATCTTTTACAGATGGTCTCTGGTTGTCATTGGCTCCTCACAAGAATCTGATCCACTCTGCAGATCAGAGCCTGTGGTGTATTTTTATAGAGGAAACGAGTGCGAAGTACACACAGAGTCAAGTAATTCATTCATGACTTTCTGTGCAGTTGTGCATTGTAACAAAAATGCACAGTTGTCCCAGAATCCCTGGATTCATCTCCCAGCTCACCAGGGTGTCTCGGCACGCCATTTGGGAATCGCTGATAACAAACAGTTCATAGAAGTCATGCGTACAAGTGCAGGGAAAGTCCTAATGAGCTCTGCACTCCCTCTGCATGTGGACCGTATCCACCAACACAAAGTAACACCATGCCTCTGTGTCAGCAGCTTTACATCACCGTTAGAGAAAGCGCAGACGTGATGTCAGCTTCCAGAAAGGCACGGATGTGCCATAAAGATCAGCTCTGAGTCACGCTGCATGTAAAAATGCGTTCCTGTATTTAAGGCTGTAACACCTCACATATCTCTGTCTTCTCTGCAGGGCTCTTGCACATGCCAAATTCACAAAGTAAGTAACCGAGACGTGCTCCTGATAAATGAGGTGAACTCGAGCTTTCAAACAAACTGACCTTTGTGTCTCGATATTTCTGTCTCTAAACAGGGAGCTGAAATATGTCATTCAGAGGTTTGCAGAGGACCCTCGGCAGGAGGTGTGTGTGTGTGTGTGTGTGTGTGTGTGTGTGTGTGTGTGTGTGTTCAGGTTGATCTCTGCTTTAAGCCTAAGAAAGGAGAGTCACCCTGTATGTGTGCTTTCCAGGTCCACTCCTGCCTGCTCAGCGTGCGTTCAGGGAAAGATGGCTGGTTCCAGCTCTACAGTCCAGGAGGCGTGGCCTGTGATGACGACGGAGAGCTCTTTGCCAGTATGGTGAGTGTATGAACACACATGCGCACACGTAAGCATCGACACAGTCATGCTGAACTGTAACGTGACCCACCTCCTGCTCTTCCTTCTATCCTCCAGGTTCATATCCTGATGGGCTCCTGCTATAAGACCAAGAAGTTCCTCCTCTCTCTGGCTGAAAATAAGCTGGGCCCCTGCATGCTGCTGGCCCTCCGTGGAAACCAAACCATGGTGGAGGTGGATGATTTTCAATCTTTCTACCTTATAACCATGAATTATGTCCTGCTCTCCTAAATATATACACATTTTGCAGTTGTGTGTCTTTTTGTGGATTCTTTGGGTCACTGTGGGGTGTTTCTACACTGCTCCGTGGTTGTTTTTATTCTAACCTTTTTGGTCTTATCGCATCACATCTCTGTAATTTATCACTTTCTGGTTGTACGTTTTCACATTTTGGTCATCCTGCTCATGTGGTGGACACTTTTGACCACATTTCTGAGGCCATTTTTATCTCTTTGCTTTTGTTTGTGGTCATTTAGTGTCACCGCAGTAGTTTGTGTACAGATTTTATTTTAGTCTTTATCACTTTATAGATTTTCTGCATCACATTTGGTTTGTTGCTCCTCAGCCTCACTTTCTGGTCGTTTCCTCACTCTAGTAACTTTTTTTTGGCCACACTGTGGCCATATCTGTCTCACTTTTAAGTCACTTTACCTCTTTATGTGGATGTTTCCAGTCTCGTTTTAATCATTTCTTCTTTTAAAATTAGTATTTATTGCTATATTGTCTTGTTTTTGTTCATTTCTCCACATCTCGCTTTCTGATCATTTCATTATTTTGGACATTGTTTTGCATGGCATTTTGGTCATTTTATTCTCACCTTAGTCTCTGTTTAGTCCACCCATGTGCAGTTTGGGAGTTTACTATTACTATCTGGCATGGCTGTAGCTCAGGAGGTAGTTTAGGTCATTGACTAATTGGTGGTTCGATCACTGGCTGCTCCAGTCCGCATGCCAAAGTATCCTTGGACAACATGCTGGATGCCAAGCTGCTCTAAAAGGATTAATTGGAGGGTGAATGTGAGTCTTAGACATAGAAAAAAGTACTTGTGTGAATTTGTGAATGAGTCAGGTTGAGGTGATTAAGAGTAGAAAATCCATTTACCAACACTGGGCTGCACTACGTGTTCTGGTGTTTCAGTATATCAGCAGCTTTAACTTGTGCATGACATGTTTCCAGATCCTGTGTCTGATGCTGGAGTACAACATCATTGAAAATAAAGACACCCAGCTGCAGATCATCTCCACCCTGGAGAGCACCCAGGTGGGGCTCCGCATGTACGAGCAGCTCTGCGACCGACAGAGAGAGCTCAAAGAGCTGGTGAGTTCCAACTCCACCTCTCACCCCCATTATTTAGTAGGAGCGCCGAGGCCTGCAGCCGCTGCTGCCGGCGCACGGAAAAATAAAGTCACCAGCTTCTCATTACTGCAAATTCATGTGTCGTCAGTAACGCATGTGACCCGGCTGTAGATAATTGTCAGTCTGCAATTCTAACACACTGGTGATGGTTGTTGACAGTCTGAGAGGTCATGCACACATTAGGGACAAAAGGAAGACATAAGGTGCATTTACACGCATCCACATGTCAAATATTATGTGTATGAACACGTTTGGATATAAAATCCTGCCGTTTACTCTAAAAATCTTTGGAGGTTGTAGTTTTTTCCTTCCTTCAGAGCAGCAGCAGAGACGGGTGATGGAGAACCTGATGATAATAATAATGATAGCTAGAATCTGCAGAAAATACATGCATGTGAAACCGCCAGTGTGCTTACAATGTATGGTTGTCACACACTTTTCAAATCCACAGTAAAGTTTAGACTCTTGTACTCTTCTCCAATTATAAAAGTTTGTGTTTTTTAGTATATATTTGATATGAATGTCACTACATTTCCTGAGACGATTTACACAACGCACATTTTATATTTAAAAATCTGAAAAAGACGGCATGTTATGGAAGCAAAGCAGTCTGTAAAATTAACAACTATATATAAAAAAAGCGTCTGCTTGTTACTGCTGCCATAGTTCTGTTAAAATAAGCGATAAAACAACACATTTATCTAATATTTGCTTAACATACGTCATTTACGCCGATATGTAGACTCCATTTATTTGCAATTCAAATAAACATGTCTATATTCCATAACTTATCTCGCCTCCTATTTAAAAGGCCTTCCCAGTAACCAGCTGTTTTCTTTATCACACCAATACAGCGGTACACCGTTATCTCTCAATAAAGTCGAAATGCAGTGTTACATAATTGAATAAAATGGATGTAAAGAGAGTTTGTGAGTGAAGGAGAGAGAATAGAGCTAAAACAAAATGCCGTTTAAGATTAAAACGTAATAATCTGTCTCCCAATTGATGACGCAGAACTGAATTTCATCAGCAGGTCATTACTGTGCAGGCCAAAATCTTGCCCCAGAAACACCACGTTTATGTTTTGTAGGAGAATAAGTTTTTATCAGTGGTTCTAACTGAAGCAGGATGGGAAGCATTTTAAAGCATCTTATTACTGAAATTAAACAAGAGGTGATCATAGAGGCCTCAGTGGGAAACGCCTGCAGCTGCTCACACGTGCCATCTACTGTTAGCAACGATTCCTGCAAGGCCTCAAGCTCAGACGCCATCTTTCTTTCTATTTTCTCCTCAGCAAAGAAAAGGAGGCCCTACCCGGCTGACTCTGCCCTCCAAGTCCACGGTGAGATCGCACCGCTGACACAGACACTGTCTTGGAAAAGAAGCAAAACTCTTGATTTGACTCTTACAATAACCTGTCATCACCTCTCTAGGATGCGGACCTGGCCCGCCTGCTCAGTTCAGGTTCTTTTGGGAACTTGGAGAACCTGAGCCTGGCTTTCACCAATGTCACCAGTGCCTGTGCTGAGCAGCTCATCAAGCTGCCTTCACTCAAACAGCTCAACCTCTGGTCCACACAGGTAAACGGACCCAACACAAACAGCTGCACAAGGAAATCATGACTGTCTATGAGATGCCTAACAGCTGCCCTTTCCTTGCTTTGTTCCATGCTTCAGTTTGGGGATGCAGGACTGAGGTTGTTATCCGAGCATCTGGCCTGCCTTCAGGTTCTGAACCTGTGTGAGACTCCCGTCACTGATGCTGGTCTCCTGGCGCTCAGTTGTAAGACATCTTGCATAGGAAGCATTTTTATGACACGGTGAATGTCCTTGATAGTGTGTGTGTCAACTCTAAGTGCAAATGTCTGTTTCAGCCATGAAGAGTCTGTGCAGCCTGAACATGAACAGCACCAAGCTCACAGCAGACACATACGAGGACCTCAAGGTAATTCAGTCAGTGTTAAAGGTTCTTTAAAGGTTCCTGCTGTTCTGTTTCTGTGTGGCACCTAATGCTAAATGAATGGAAAAAGCCTTTATCGCTTTGAAGAGAGGTCTTATATCTGATGTCTACACAGATACATTTTGAATGGACTGATAGATGCACATATATTTTTTGTATTAATACAGTGAAAATAAATGGTTTTGACAAAGCCACCAACACCTGACCCCACGATGGCTAAACTGTGCTTCACTGACAGCTAAAGTCAATTTGATCATTTAACATTAAGCTGCACAATCCCTCGAGGCGGCCGAGGCAGTATGGTCACATAATAAAACTGAATCTGAGGAATATTTAGATTTTGATTCTTGGCTGAGCTTTTTAACCAGCTGCTTAAAGCTCTGCTTTTCCACTATGTAACTGCACCAGAAATTTCCATCCACTGTTTATTCGTCCTCTCACATGGAGTGCAGCTAGCGAGCAATAACGACGCTCGGAGGGGTCATTTGTTTACTTTTGGGCAGCACAGCAGCTGCTAGCATCTCCTCCTTGTGTGCCTTCATAGCCTGGCTGTACTCAGCAGTGTGTTTTTGTCACCAGTGGTGAAACGAGTTGTTTTCACCTTTAGTAGGAACAGTTTTCTTGCCAGTGATTGTGATGCCGTGAAGGGTGTTTAGGTAGCTTAGTGTTTACGTGGCTCTCGCTCTTAGACATGTCTGGGCTTGCGTTGTTGTTGTGCATGCTAAGGAGCTTAAACACAGCTTTGTCGATGTTGCTGGCTCACCTTTATCACTGGGACTAATGCAAAAATATTGACAAACAGTAGTTGTTAAAATAGTTGGTGTACTACTTCCTGTTTCCGTGTTTCACAGCTCTCTGAGCTCAGCTGCACTTATCGCCATTAAAGACTGCTCTCTGCTGGTGTTTTTCATGCAACACATCAGTGCATCAGTTGTTTGGTGCTTTAGTTAGTTATTGTATACCCTCCACTGAATCTTTAAGCACAGTTATGAATGAAATCCCTCCCTGAGCCTGGTTCTGCTGGAGGTTTCTTCCTGTTAAAAGGGAGTTTTTCCTTCCCACTGTTGTCAAGTGCTGCTCATCGTTTGGGGGGTCGTTTGATTGTTGGGGTTTTTTCTTTATTATTGGGCCTTTATCTTATAATTTAAAGCACCTGTTTGAATTTGTTGCTGTTTAAATAAAACTGATCTCAACTGAAGTGTATATTGTTTGTGTTCCTCTCCAGGCCAAACTGCCTAACCTGAAGGATGTTGATGTTCGGTACACTGAAGCATGGTGATCGGCCAAGCTTTCAGCAGCCCCTTTACATGCCGAGACACACACAAGCACGATCACACACCAACTCACACATTACATCGACGCCATCATTACACCAGGAACCCTAACATCACCCGGCCTGAGGATCACCCCGTCTGATTAGACGCTTGCTATGAGGAGGAGCCGTCACCAGTTTCATCACCGATCCCACAAAGTGACACCGTCACCGGGAAGGAACTTTGTGAAACTCATCGCTCCTCTTACCTCGAAGGCCCTTGTTGTTTTTTTGTTTTTTTACAAACGACATCAGAGAACGAGAGGACCCGATGTACTGAAATACTGGAACCCTGCTCTCTCTGTCCTTACCCTTTGCCTCGTCCTTTCATACGTAGTCTCTCAGTTTTCATAATCACTCTTTTTTTTTTTTCCCCTCTCTGCGTGTGCACCTCATAATGAAATCCAGAATCGAGGAAGGCGTTTGCCCCTCATGGAACGAAGGCCGGACGCAGCAGCTCGCCTTCCAGTTCGTCTTTGATCCGATCCACGATGTAGCTCTCCCGACGGACGCGGTCAACTGTTATCGAGTCCTCGCTCTCTCTTTGCTGTCAGTTTTCGGGATCAAATTCCGGCCTTTTCCAATCTTTCACTGGGAAAATGAGGTGCTACCTCAGAGAAAAGAAGACTGTGCCTACTCCTCATGTACAACTCGCGAAAAGGAGAAAAAGAAAACAAAAACGGTTTTTATCAACTTGAATTAACATATTTTTCCAGACATCTGTGCTTTCATATATTGTGTCTTTCTATAGAAAACATAAGGAGGTGCCCACCTCCCTCCCCATCACCTCCCCAACGATGACATTTTGGGAGCTTTGCAGGAATGTCAAGGGTGATGGCAATATTTGGTCCTTTTTAAATTGCCTTCAGTGTGCGTGCTGAAGCTCTCCTGTTTCTATTTAATAGGACAGTTGTGTAGCAGTAGCTGGGTGGTCTGGGACTGACTGATATTTATAAGTTGTCTTTAAAACCTCTGACACATTGTCTTTCCTGGATTTCGTTGGGAGGTATCAAAGTACACAGCTTTTTGGGGTTTTTTGCATCGCATTAAACAAGAAGCCCTGGCAGGTCGCCGCCGCACATGGACGTCCGTGTACCAAAGCCGCGGTGGCAAACTTCAGAGTGGACTTCTGAAATCGGACCTGTTTAAACCAGACCCATCACCAGCTGAGAGTTGTATATTTTCATATCCCCCTCTCGTTTTTGGTCCCCGCCGTGCAGGTGCTTTGGGATGCTTTTGAAGCAAAACGTCTGTCCTCTGCTTTTTTTTCTTTTTTTTTATTGAGGCAAACCTGAGCGTGGCGTCGCCCCCCTGACGCCGTTTGCCTCTCCGACCCCCTGTCCTGAGCGGAGGAGTCGCAGTGCCTCTAGCGGATGAGTCACTTGTCTTTTTACCTGTCCCACGACCTGTTTTGAATCACTCTGCTGTATTTATATTACGCCATATCACGTGGATGACATTTTAGGCTAATTCTTATCAGAGGATGGGACAAAATTCTTGTACATATTCGATCACAATAAGGGACGAGTAATCGGGGAGGGTGGGGCACCTTCTATTTGCCTGTGTACATTCCCTCAAAGTGTTGCCTGTTTGTTGTGGCAGCGTTTCATACGATGTGGTAACTGCCCTGACACACTGCAAGTCTGTCAGGATCTATTCTCCCCGTGTGCGTGTGGTTTGGGCGGATTTGTCTTGGAAACTCAAGGCAAGCGCAACTGCATCCATCCATTTTATTTATTCGTGTCGACCTGGGCAACGCTCCAGATGCTTGTTGAATCAGAGGACAGGACGCCGTCCGCTACGAAGCGCTTTGTTTCCTATTTATTGGGCGCCACGACAGGTTTCTGTTTGGCCTGTAGGTGCGGTTTGTGTACGGCCATCTTCGGGTCTAGCTTTAGGACATCGTGCTTTTTTTCATATCCTGTATGATGTACATATGAGTGTATATAGTCGTCTCCTTCCTTTCTCTCTTTGAACCATTTTTGAATCCTCGCCCTTCTTCATCTCCTCTCTGTTTTTCTCTCAGCCTCCTTTCCTTCGGCAGGCTGTTGTTGCCTTCATCTTAATGTGTGTGGTTGTTTTTGTTTTGTTTTTCTTCTTTTCACACAAAGTGCTCTGTACTCTAAAAAAACTGTTTTCAATGTGTGTTATATTTTATGTTTCTCTCATTCGATCACTTTAATCAAACATTTGTTTCCGGTGTTTTTGTTGTTTAAGGTTTTTTGCACGTAAACGTTGCCGCGTCATCGAATATGTTTTTTCGTTATTTTGTAATTTTTGTTTTGTAAAAATACCATAAAGGGTTTGATCACTATCTCACCAGGCTGAGGACTGAAATGGAGAGATCCCATCCGGCTGTTTTGTGATTGGTCGTAGCCAGGATCTACCCACGAGCCTGCTGTTTGAGGCAGTTAAAGCTTTATTCATGTTGATTTTCTAAAACAGCCAATGACACTTGGCGCCTTTGGACTGAAGCCGAGATTTAATCATTTAAACGATGGCCATTTTTTATATCACGAGTCGTATCGTATGTGGATCACGCTGACTGTGGTCATATTAAATAAAGTTGGTGATTCCACACATCAGCGACCCGATGATTCAGTCTGATTTTACTGCAGTTGTTTTTATCCCCGATGGTTTTGAAGGATGAACGGTTTGACTCTATTTTATGAGTGACGTGAAGAATCCTGATACCAATATCACGTTTATCTGGTTGACGTGAAGCCACAGCCATCGGCTGCTTAGCTCAGCGTATCAGGAGAAATGGTTACCTTGACTTTATCGAAAGGTAAAATAGTCCTTCCAATACTCATAATCCACGAGTTTCTTTTTTCTAGTCTAGGGTCTTTATGATGTCATGATGGAGGAGGGAGGAGCTAAAACAGACTAGAAGGGTGTTCTCGCACTGCTTCCAAGGCACACAAAGGACGGGGGAAGAAGTCTAAATGGATCAGAACTCCAGCTACGCTATTATTTTAAACATCCTTATTGCTAGACCAGTGTGCTTGTGGCCTTTATGGGGGTTGTTACAGGGTGTACGACTAATGCCATTAAAATAAGATAAAGCAGAAAAACAAACATCACCTGGCTGTGATGCAGCTTTTAGGCTACAAGCAACCTGCAACACAACACTGAGCTTCAGTGCAGCGTAGCATCGTTTTCCTCCAGAGACTGTACTAGTAGGGAAACTGGCTGAGGTAACGAGCTTGGCTGTAGCTTCACCCTTAATCCCAGAGGTAATTCATCAAACTTGGTGTGAAAGCAGATGAGCCCATTTCCCACAGTGGGCTGTTTTGGGCCACGCTGACTTGTCCAAACTGTGAGCCTGGGGTCCAGCATGTTGAGATGATTATTATGTTTCTCTCTTTTTTTTTTTTTAAGTGTTACTATAGAACATGTGCTGGTTGAAAAGTACCGTCTCCTGTTCGGCCATGTTTCCTGTGGAGCTCACTGAGCTTTCCTCCCCGTTCATCTGTCACCTTTTTTAAAGAAAAACATTTTTTTGTAAAGTTTCTACCACACCTGCGTCATGTACAGCTGTGCTCGAGTCTTAACCATTGTTATGGAAGGAACAGGGTCAGACAAACCTGACAGACTGAAAAAATGCAACTACTTCAACTTTATTTCCCATTCCTCGTAGTAAAATCATTTTGTTGGCAGCTGGAAAAGGGGCGCCCATCATGTTTCTCTCTCTTTTTCAGTCTTTCGGTCGCATTGATCTGCTTCTCCTGCCGAGTTATTATTATTATTGCTGCTGCTGCTGCTCTGTGGCTGTTGTAATAAAAATACAAAAGATCTTCAACAGGAAAATAACAACTATGATGTGAAATAATTTCAATCAAAAATAAATTGTCTGTGAATATGTTATCAACCGGGTGTGTTTTTTCTTTTCTTCATGTTATTATATCAGTGTAATGGGGGAAAAACATGAAGCTTTAGCTGTTAGTGAGAAAACAGAAGAAACAAATGGTTTTGCAGGTGAAGGACACGTTTCCCTCATCTTTTTGGACAGTTTCTTCTCATTTAGCTGGAGTCAGAGTCACTGCTGCTTGCATGAGATGATACCTGGACGCCACAGGTTTGCCAGAAGGCCATTTATTCTTCTCTGGTATATCTCTTCAGCCTTTTTCTCAGCGCTTGCAGCCTTTGTTTGGTAGCATCTAGAGCCTGTGTTATGGACAGCTTGCTGTACCTCATTTTGACACCCTTCTGCAACTCGCATCAACATCTTTCCAGCCTTTGTCTCCCTCTGCTTGCATCCTTGATCTTATACCCAAGTGGTTGTAGAGCAGTAGTGGTTTCAGTGATGCTGGTAGTGGAGATGGAGCACAGGGCAGTGTTGCAAACATCTCCTGTGTTGAGACGAGCTGGGGACTCGTTCTCTGTCTCGAGTCCAGCCACACGCTTCATGCTCAGTAGATGCATCTGTCATTGGTTTAGCTGCACTGCTCTTGTCTACCAGGGTTACAGGCTCATTACTTCCATATTGCTCCATGCTGTACTTCAGCCTATGAATCTTCAGAGAAGCTGGAGATCCACAGGCTGAAGTATATTCCTTTATGGAATATGTTTTGTTAAAAATTGTAAGTGAGCAAACTTACAGGTAATTATTTCCCCAGTGTTTGATGGAGGACTTTTGTTCGAGGCCTCTCTACGCTCCTCACTTCAAGCGTTTGGCCTACTGCTGTCCCTGCAGCCTACTTTAAAATGCGGTGGAGCAGAAAACAATTCAATAAATACAGATAAAGAATGTCATTCACCAAGCATACTTTATTGACTCGATTCATGAGGAAGTCAGAGGAGTTCTGGGACAGCTATAACCACAATCTGCCTTCATATTAAATAGAGGAAACACTCACTGCATGAGATTACAGATCGGATTTCCATATCAAACAAACATTGAAGAAAAACGTCACACTGGTGAAACTGCACAGCAAAAAAACACATTCAAAATGAATTAAACACAAGCTCCCTGGCAGCAGAACAGCCACTGCAGTGAAATCGTCATTATTTCAGACTCCGCTCTTTAATGAAAAATAAATACCATCAGTGTAACACGATGCAGTTTGATAACAGACTGAATGCAAACATATCAAGCACAACGCTGGCTACTTGGACCGTTGTAACGGCCTCTTACATTTCCTCCAGCAATTCCATATTTCAAAAACTCCAAAACGTTAGAAACTGTTTTTTCCAATCTTAAATAAATAGAAAACCATTCGGGATACTGGAATGTTGCCATCTTCGGTGGAAAGATGGCAAAAAAAAAAAAGCTCTTCCAGATCACAGCTCCCATAGCAAACATTGATACTAGATTTGAAGCCTGCTGCTCACACAGGTTAGACAAATGAGTCCTCAGGAGTAAAATTTACTGTTGTTTATCTTCTTTTCCTTTGACCTGGAGAGAAAGACGGACAGATTGAGAGCAGAGAGTAACAAGTATCACAAATTAGTTGTCATA